TTTGAACACACGACTTTGGGATCCACAGACATGCGGATAGCCACTACACCAAGGTGGCTCTCTTTCTGAGAGAGAATTTGTTAGAAGAGAAAATGATCTTGGTTTTCTTTACATTCATGTCGTCTCGTGTCGGAGCGCAGTGGCGAACCCGGGTGTACCGTGCTCTGAAGGTCCGGAGTAGGTTTCTTGTCTTTGTTGTTAGGTTCAAGTGTACAGGCTTTAATGAGATCCTTTAGAATGTCACTGTAGTTACAGAGTTCGTGCATTGTGCGATGATCTCAAAAAAGTGGAGGGGGAAGGAGGGGATGATGGTTTTGAGTAGATATCTGAGCTATATGGAATAGCCTGGTGAAATGAACAATATACTCTCGATTTTAATTTTGTTTATTTTGTGTGCTTTTTTTTTTTTTTTTTTACTTTTAAGTCAATTTGAAATGGGTATCATGAAATGTCTTGGGGAAAAAGGACCGTTTGTGTGATACTGGGCAAGACAGTCATCATTTTGCCACTGATCTATAAATGTATAGAGACAAGGCCATTTATTTAAAATCCTTATTTTGGCATATCTGGTGAGAGAGGAAAACCGAAGTAATCAGTAACATAATATTGTTTGAGGGAAAAGGGGCATTAGAAGTTGAAGAGAGGGTGTGGTTATAAAAGTAGATTGTGGGAATTTACGCCCTAGTATAAATGTATTGATGATTTTGGACGCAGCATGTCAACCTCACTACCAAAAATGGGAGAATTAGGAGGTTACGATTGGCACAGGCACGGATGAGAGGCACACCAGACTACAATAAGTCTTTTTAACCAGCATAGGATTGGCACTTCTAACCGCGGGACGCTGTTGTATATGATGAGATGAGAATCTGAGCTGTTGTACGCGAGTCCTGAGTGCTGCGAAAATAACTAACTCATAACACGTATAAAAAACCACAGGGCACGAACTATAAGAACATCCCGTTTGAAACCATGACATTTGCATGTTAACAGTTATTTACCACTGCTTTTACTCAACACAAGTCTACAGCTATGCAAACTATTGACAGTATTTTCTTTTACCAAACAGTGACATGCAGCATTCATTGATTACAGTGTACCATAGATTACCTGAAGGCAAAATGTCTATAAAAAAGAATGCCGCAATAAACGGATTGTGCGAAACTGTCTAGCTTCTTTTTGTAGTATGACATTTTTAGGCAATGGAAAAGTGCATCGCTTTGGGCAGATGCAAGTAACAAGCAAACAGAGCGTGTAAATTTCAGACCAGTGTAAAATCAGAAATCGATTGCATTCTTTATGAAACATCTTTATCGCACTTGAACATGTCCATTAGCTCTTATATTGTATCTGTTATTTGCGCGGCAAGTAAAGTTCTCAACTCAGTGCATGAACTCTATTTGTACTAGCGACTAATATATTTTGTAGTTTCCCTGGCGAAGGCGTTAGGTCGTTTATCTCGCGATTTCATTGTTTTGGGTTGGGGTTTGAAGCCCTTAGTTCTTTCGCAAATGTGGGTATTTCGGGGAACTTGGGGTCGCTGCAAGATCTGCAGTTCCTTCTTTTCTAGGACGTTCCCGGTAGCCAACAGCAAATCTATGAGAGACTAAGCGGTATGGAATAATGTCTTATGCAATAAAGTCGACCATTTCGTCTTGAAACTCTTTATTTAGGCAATGTGTATGTATCAAAACCGCATATGCTACAAATTAAAATAAAATAAAAAGTAAAGATCCCTTTCCACGCCTTGGGCGCATCGGGCATATGGGAAGAGCACCCATATTTTTACAGACCATCGGCACTAGGTGTGTAATATGGTCAGCATTACACCGGTCGTCTTTACTTCCCTAGGACATCCATCCTGGTACCAATTTTAGGCTGGGTCGACCTGCGACGCACCATACCATTAAAAAAAGAAGGTGGGGGCGGGGGGTTGAATTGACCTTGGTTCCCAGGTATACCAAGCCTAAAATAGGTTCACTGTAATGTCCTAAAAAGTAAATTTGGCTGGCCTGATGTTAAAAACATTACCATAGATTGCTTCTGGTCTATAAAATTTAGGTCTATCACTATACGCCCACTGCGCTAAAGACTGAAGATAATGACGAGCTGCTGAAGATAATGACCGAGCGTTTCTGGGAGTGTCCCGAGTGCTATGATTTCGTTTCTCAATTCAACATTTGAAATGTTTCTTTTTTTGGGGAGGGAGGGGCGGGGAGGGGGAATTTGTTGTCTACCTACAAAGTTCAATATTGTTTTGTGCCAAATCTCCTTTGTATCATCATTCCTAAGTCGATCTGTCATTGTTACGCCTTGAATGATACCTAAACATTTCATGTCGGTCGTGACAATTTTTCTTCTGTCTTCTGAAGAAGTTTGAACCAGTCAAGATGGGTGACAAGTGCATAATTTTCACATTATTTTAAACTGTTTCTGCTTAAAAAATGTGGCGATGAAGAGAACTGATAACTTATTACTTGCATCGTGCATGTCGTCGGCTAGAATATGTAATGACCGTTCCTTCACACCAAAAAGCTAGTTACTGCTATGGGACTATGTTCATTTTTTTGAATCGTTGTATATTCTTCTTCTTGTCCGCCGGCTATGAATACCAACATAAAGTCTCGGTTGCTCTTCCTTTTTTTATACTTTGGCTTCGTACCAGGACGGGAGTTTTGCGTGTACATCCGTTTTACTGGGGTATTTGTGTACAGATCTTGCTCCCTTCTTCTTGGGCTGATGTACTCCACTAATCATGGGCTGCGCTCCCCGAAGGTCAGCAGGGAGCAGCCCCCTGGTCCAGAACTCAGATGTCACGCAAATAGGTACCTTCTTCTTTGTCACGTTAGACACCATTATCGTTTGGTGAAGCATGCATCAGGCATGGTTTCACCTGTTTCGCCTCAACACTCAGCCGATGGATACGGACATTTGAACCTTTCTGCCAATTATTAGGATTCATTACATTCGGACATTGAGATTTTGCTTGTGTGCCACAGGACGAATCTTTGTCGGACATTTGAGCCCACCTAGCCGTAGACAGGATTTTACCGCCAGAAACCGCTCACAGGAGATGTTACTTGTCTAAGCTGGGGATAAATCTTTTGGTCAAGGGGGGCTGAGTCTCTGCAGGTGAAGTTTTCTTTTGTTCGACAGACTTTTAACCGAGAGTTGTCGGCACACTTTTAACTAGAGTTGTCATTTTAGTGGTGCATTCAGCGAGCAGACTTTATTCATGTTAGAATTAAGTTTTGAGAGACGTTTTCACCCGTGCTTTTGAGGTGGGCTGATGTGAGTCAGACTGGACACTACATCTCTGGGGACCACCAGCTTCGAGATCCCATGACAGCTCTGTTAATGCTCATTTAAGACATTATCTCTGGCGCACGACGGGGACGTGAAGCAGGAGTCTCGCATGTCTTGTCTTGTCTTGTCTTGTCTTGTCTTGTCCACAGTTGCCTCACAGCGTAGTGGGGAGTCGCAGTTTTCTATTCTGGGCCAGGTGTGTTGCACGTGTTGTTGTTAGTCCGTGTTGCCTCAGGATCTCTGATATATTGTCTATCCATCGTACTCTCGGTCTCCCTCTTGCTCTAGGGCAGTAGTGCTGTTCGTTGTATGCTCGTAGAGGCAGTTGGTCGGTTTGCATTCGCATGCATCAAGTGGCCAAACCACTCTATTTGTTGCTTCCTTATGTATTGCAGGCATGGTGTGGTTCCTACAATTGCTCTAATGTTCTCGTTTCGAACTCTGTCTCTCCTTGTGACATTGACAGCCTTACGTAAGCATCTCATTTCGCACGTCGTGATCTTTTTCTCCTGTGCTCTTGTTAGGGACCAGGTTTGGCATTGGTAGCAGAGGGTCTCGCATGAGGTTCCGTAAAACCAACACAGAGAAGGTTGGCGCCCTAGGTGAAGCACGGAGTATCTCCTAATACACATCCCATGCGACTTAATTTCCCCCTATGTCTGTGACCAAAATCATCGCGCCACAAATTGTTGTATCAAATCTATAGTAATTGTCCAGCCGTGTAACACTCAAACAAGATTGTTATCATGCTCTTATCTAGCAAGGTGCCGTGCATGTTAATATTCATACCTATAATATATTCATACATTTACCCAGGCATTACCGAAATATATCTGGAATAGATGCTTTACATTTTAAGACAACATATATGCGAATATGCAAATATTGCAAGCGCAAGAGTGTAAATGAATGACTGGGGTATGGTTTGTCATATCTCTTTTTTAGCTTTTTGTCTGTCTCTTTCTATGACTGTTTAGATTCCTCTCCGTTTTTGACTGCCTCTGTCTGTCTGTATGGCAGACTGTCTGTCTGACTGTTCGTCCTATCTCTGTGTGTAGGTTTATAGATCTGTCTGTCTGGCTCACTCTGTTACTCCATATATATCCCTCGAAACTTTTTTCCTCATTGTTCTTCTATACCCCTCTCTCTCTCTCTCTCTCTCTCTCTCTCTCTCTCTCTCTCTCTCTCAAAGCGTTGCCCCTAAATCTTCTCCCTCTCTCCTCCTCTGTTTCTCACTCTGGTCCTCTCTGTCTCTCCCCCCCCTCTCTCTCTCTCTCTCTCTCTCTTCTCTCTCTCTCTCTCTCTCTCTCTCTCTCTCTCTCTCTCACCAAAAAAAACAAGCTTTGAAGATAAAAAACACCATTTCAACATTAAAGATGAGTGTTTGTAATGGCTGAATGTAAAACAGGTCGGCATGTCTAATTCTGACCCTTTGGGGAAAAATAATCCTTTATTCATCAAACCTTTTTTTTTATCCCCCGCCAAATCACCTCCTCTTTCTCTCCCTTCCATCCCCTCTTTCTCTCTCTCTCTCTCTCTCTCTCTCTCTCTCTCTCTCTCTCTCTCTCTCTCTCTCTCTCTCTCTCTCTCTCTCTCTCCCTAGTACGACCTCTATGACGAATCTGCCATAACTTAACTGAAAACATATCTTTACCATCTTAATTTCACCACTCATTTATTTATGTCATTCGCAGGTGAACAGTTTTGTAGGAGCCTTCCACGACGCAGTGATCCTGTACGCCATCGCCTTGAACGAAACCCTGGCCGCCAATATCTCCATCACCAATGGCTCAGAGATCACCAAGAGGATGTGGAACCGAACTTTCACAGGTAAATCCAGTTTACGATACTTATCATCACTTATAATATTAATGTGCTTCACCTGTATTTTAGGAATTAAGGGATGTCGTCAGCGACATTTTTACAGGTATGTAATTGCCAATTAAATGATACCTCAAATTGTGGAGCTAGTTATGTGAAGTTATGTGATCGCGAGCAGGGATGACTTTGTGTATGTTATGTTGATCTGGATGGAGTTCAGACGTGATGAATTCATTTTCTCCGTCTGTTTATTATGTCTGTGTTGAGCATAGGTTCGCAACTAACCCGCGAACCTTTGTTTTACACTAACTTTAAAACTGGGTAAAGTCAAGAGGATTGACTGCATGGGTTTTATCCCATTTCTCTCTCCTAAAAGCTGCCCATGTTAGCGGAACTCCATAAAACAAACTTAAGTCCTCTAAATCTAGAGTCAAACGAGTTAATTAAACATTCACAATAGGCTCCTCCCCCACTCTAACGCAAACGTTTACACTGCATATATATATATATTAAGTAAAGATCTCTTTTCACGTCTTAGGCGCTTCGGATACATGGGAAGAGCACCCATATTTTTTCATACTAATCGGCACTAGGTGGGTAATGTGGTCAGCATTACGCCGACTGTCTTAACTTCCCCAGGACATACATCCTGTTACCCATTTTATACTCGGTTGACCTGCGACGCCCCATACCATGATAAAAATCCATGCAGCCAGCATTGGGTTTGATACACTGCGTATATAATTACATCTTAATTTAAATCTGTAAGAAATTTACATTCCTAAAGATCGTCAGTTGATCGACTCTTTGAATGTGAACAGATATCTACACTGACCTTAATCTCGCATTATCTCTTTTCTATCTATAAAGGATATTAATGTATACGCAAATATATATATATATATATATATATATATATATATATATATATATATATATATATATATATATATCACATCTCATTGACTTACGACTATCCACACTTACAGCCACACACAAAAATTAGGAGGAGAGGTTGACTGAAGGATGAACGCATTGTTAAAGTGTTTCCCTTTCCTTGCAGTCATTAACGAAACACATACATCCTCGTGGATCGTCACTGAAGCACAAGTTCAGACTTTGTAAGATGCTTTCGGTAGACATTCTACGGAAATCCGCAAGAAAACCCGGTGCACTGAAATCGATCTCATTTAAATTTCAAATTTCAAACAAAACAATATTTAGCAGCTGTGGGTGGTAACTTTTAACGCAAACTGTTGTCCTTTAGGTATCACAGGAACAGTAAGCATAGATGAGAATGGAGATCGGAATGCTGACTACTCCCTTCTAGACATGGACCCAAAGACATCCAAATTCAGGGTAAGTATATGAGTGTTTAAAGCTGAGTACGGACGTCACTGGGTGCTTGATTCTTCTTCTCCTTTCTGCCCTTAAGCATGGGGTGCAAACCTTTATATGTGCTCTGCAAAGTCTGGATTTACGACCTCATTTATCCATCTGTCTCTGAAATGCCTTAAAAGAGCTGCAGGAGTTTCAAGGAAAGACAGAATACGAAATCATGAAATCAGACGAATGCTAGGAATAAAGCCAGTCTTACAGGTCATCAAAGAACAACAAATGAAGTGGTTAGGACACCTAACAAGAATGCCATGGTACTTTCGCCACAACGAGCCACATTAAAACGTTAGAACAGGTATAGAGCGAGTGGAAGACCTCGGAAAATATGGAGTGATGGCATTAAGAACAGCCTTACAGAAATGAACATCAGTCTTAATAGTGCTCTTGACAGAGCTCATCAACGAACATTACATCTCCCCCCGACACTTCGATGATGTACAAGGTGGAAAAGAAGAAGAAGATTTATCCAACTCTTGCCTTGATCGACCTCTTTCCCTGCTTCTATTATGTCTGACAGGGCTCTCTTTGGTGGACATTTTGTGGTAGTCTTGTCACATGTCCGAACCATTTATCGACCTCTAAAACGTGGTATTGAATCTTGACCGTCGGTATCAGGCTGGCTTTATCGTTAACTCTTTCAGCACTAAGCATTTGTGACTAGCTCCTTGTAGCTTAAGAGGTTAAGCTTGAAAGCAGTAAATAATTGAGTCTGGCGGCTTTTCAAAAAGACGTTATGGGTCTACCAGGTGAAACAAATAATTCAGATGTGAAGGATGAATATCCTGCCATTCTTCTTTTTTAGTATTCTTTGCATTTACCGGCTGTAAACTCCAGCGGAAAGGTTAGGTTATTCGTCCGCTTCTGGATTTTAGTTGATTTGGGGTACCAGGATGTATGTCCTGGGGAAGTAAAGACAGTCGGCGTAATGCTGACCAGATTACTCTCCTAGTGCCGATTGGTCTGAAAAAATATGGGTGCTCTTCCCATATATTCGATGCGCCTAAAAGCGTGAAAAGCTCATTTATCTCAGTGTTTTAAGTAAAATACTGTACTTAAAAGCTAGCATTCATTGTTGCTATGTGATATCTCACTGTAATTTACTCCGCACAATTCATACCTGAATTCCAACTTCTGCTGATATACTTCCCAGGTCCACCATGCCTACAAAGGGGTAAAATCATTGGAAGTAGGAGCGCCAAAATAGCGATGAACACATATTCTACTTGGAATGTACTGATCTATACACATACAGGTTAGGTTGGGCACTAAATGCCATTTGCGCCAAAGTCCTTGAAAGGGTCCTTCACTTCTTACCCCCCTTATCTCTACACATAATCTTTCTGTCTTGGACATTACGACACGCAGTTGTAGTACAGTGATAGCTCTAATAATGGAAAAAAAATCCTTCAGGAATCACATTCTTCAGCCTACACGTGACTAGTGGGTTCATTTAGTTGATAACGCAGGTGCGTTACGTTAACGCTTGCATCCACTAAAAACTTTCGTTAGCGGAATCCACATTTGTAATCTGAAGTCGAAAAGCAGCCACAAATAATCTCTTCTTTAGCCTAAAAAGTCGTTATTGGGGTCACTCTTTAGCCTAGGTTTCGTTGTTTTTGGTGTAGCAATTACAGGTGCCTTTATTATAATTTCATATGAGGTTGAAGCTTATCTGGGATTGTTTTCTTTTTTTTTTTTTCTTCAATTGCCTGATTAAGTCGCTGGAATGTTCAAACAATTAGGTATTGTAAAGAGATATCAAACCATGCCATAAATAGGACCAGTCAGCTTCACAATATTACAAATGCAAGCGAAAAGTAGAACTAGTCAGCTTCACAAATTCACAAACGATACGTAGAACCTGTCAGCTTCACAGTATCACAAACATACACGATACGTAGAACCAGTCAGCTTTACAGTATCACAAACACACACGATACGTAGAACCAGTCAGCTTCACAGTATCACAAACATACACGATACGTAGAACCAGTCAGCTTCACAGTATCACAAACATACACGATACATAGAACCAGTCAGCTTCACAGTATCACAAACATACAAGATGCGTAGAACCAGTCAGCTTCACAGTATCACAAACATACACGATACGTAGAACCAGTCAGCTTCACAGTATCACAAACATACACGATACATAGAACCAGTCAGCTTCACAGTATCACAAACATACACGATACATAGAACCAGTCAGCTTCACAGTATCACAAACATAATCCATAAGTAGAACCAGTTAGCCTTACACTATCACAAATACAAACGATAAGTAGAACCAGTCAGCTTCACAGTGTCACAAACACAAACGATAAGTGAACGTTGAGGCCAGAAAGCCTTTATCAGCACATTCCATAATATCGACACTACCACAAGTACAAACAGGAATACGCAAAATCACTTAACTGGCGTACTCTCGATAACCATCAAGTTGCTATCCCGCCAGCGAAATGAATGAATACCCTTAGGTAGCAGTCAGAAGACAGAGAAACAGACCATGGGACACATTACTGCCCATTTGGTTGTAATTTATACTTTCTTTTTTGTGAAGTGAGTCACTGGACTTAGAACTTGTTACCAGAGACACTTCTAAATTTCTATATAAAGAGAGGGAGGGAACGTGCAGAGGGAGTGAAGAGTGAGAATGCCAGATTTTAGGCAGTACTAATTCAATCTTCTAAGTGCCGCAACTCGGTTTCCTGAATTATCACGCCTGTCGTTGCAATTGCTGTTATTCATTGTACAAACAATATCCTCGGCTGTTTTTATTTCAACTCTGGGTTCAGCACAGTTACAATGTACGAAGAGCTCCAGTTCCATATGAAATGTGTCCTTCGAGGCTGCCTCTTAACAGAAGGGGTGTAAGAAATTAGTAGTCATTTAATTTTTTTTTTTGCCATTTGTCTGCCTGTCTTCCTGCCTTTACATCCGTCTGCCCGTCGTTCATCTATTTGTGTGTGTGTGTGTGTGTGTGTGTGCGTGCGCGCGCGCGCGCGCACGGGCTTGTTTGCACTTTCTGAATTGGCGTTTTTTGCAAATTATATAATATGTTAATTAAATTCTTTGCTTTTAATCGTATTTTAGAAAAATTAAAATTTAAAAAAAAAAAACACCAATTACAAGCTATAGTGCCTGTATGTATGTCAGTATGCTTCTGTGTTTGACCGAGAGTCTTTGATTGCTATGTAGGTTTTTTGCTTAAGGAAAAAAAATGACACGTTAAATCAGCATCCCTGAAGCGGAGCTTAAGGTTATAATTATGACTAGGTTATGTGCACCTTATGAAATGGCTTAGCAATGCACGCCGCCAAAAGCCCCGAAATGGACTCCAGCAGTGTTGATGTAATCGAAGGAGACTGACCCAAATACTGTCCCATCCGGCGGCGAAGTCGCATACGGCGAGCTATTGGGCGACGCGGTCACCTATGTGAGTGAGCGTCTTCGTTTAGATGTAAAAGGTATTTTAAGACAAGCGTAGTGATTTCCTTACATACTGCTTTCATGTATAGCTCATTTTTGATAAAGAAAGCAACTGTATGTCCTACCGAGATGTTGACCAAAGTATAAAGCCATGCAGATCCAGTAACCATCTCCACAAATCTGATAAAATTACTACATTCAACAACCTAAGGATGGTATCCAGGACTGAAACCATGTCCTTTGGGTGGAAGGGGGTGGTGGGGCAAAAAAACAGCTTAACTACTCCTTCCCGAAAAGGGCCCTATAGAAATGTATGAAATGACCTTATCTCCCAGGTCTTATCAGTCTTAAAGAGGCACTAGGTAAAGTCCTAGAAAGTTAAGGCGGCCTGTGTAACATTGACCATATAACCTTTCCGAAAGCCGGTTGTTCTAAAAAATATAGCTCTCGCACTATATGCCCAGTATGCATAGAGGCATGCAGAAGTATTATTTACTCGACTTACATTCTGTTAAAGTGTCAAGTCAAGAGGATCGACTTCACTGCACGGTTTCGCAAAAGGGCTAACAGCCTCCAGAGAGTGTTGCAAAAACTTCGAACTCTGTAGCTCCAGCGACGATCCAAGTCGATCTCCGTAAAAGTTACATTTCTGAACCGAGCCAAACGAAATTATAACCATACGGGAGGACAATAGCTTTACCAATTCCGCACGGACTAGTTCAACCCCCACTCTACTTCCTTCCCCCCAACCCCCGACCGTATTAATTTTGTTGAAGATGAAGATTCTTTGAGAAGCATGAAGATCTGCGTCATCTCTCATGCTAAATTTATCACAAATATGTATCTTTTTCTACTTCTTCTTCTGTTCTATTTCTTCTTTTTCTTTTATTTCTTCTTCTTTTCTTCTTCTTCTTCTTCTTCTTCTTCTTCTTCTTCTTCTTCTTCTTCTTCTTCTTCTTCTTCTTCTTCTTCTTCTTCTTCTTCTTCTTCTTCTTCTTCTTCTCTTCTTCTTCTTCTTCTTCTTCTTCTTCTTCTTCTTCTTCTTCTTCTTCTTCTTCTACTACTTCTTTTTCTTCTTCTTCTTCTTTTTCTTCTCATTCTTCTTCTTCTTTGTTCTTATTCTTCGTCTTCTTCCTTTTCTTCTTCTTCTCTTTTTTCTTCCTCTCCTACTCTTCTTCTTCTTCTTTTTCTTTTCCTTATTTTTTTTCTTCTTCTTCCTCCTCCTCACCTTCCCCTTCTTCTGCTTCTGCTTCTCACCCTTCTTCTTTTTTTTTCTGACTATTGTTCAGTTCCCCAATCTTGTTCCCACCATTAGAGCCTGGCTATGACAAACTTACCATCTTCTACAGCTCCCTTTATTTTATCTCCATATTTGTTTTCTTGTTATGTTTTAACTCTCTCCCCCCCCTCCTCTCTCTCTCTCTCTCTCTCTCTCTCTCTTATCCCTTTCTCTTTCTCTCTCTCTCTCTCTCTCTCTCTCTCTCTCTCTCTCTCTCTCTCTCTCTCTCTTAAATTTATTCATATTTACC